AAGATGAACAGGCATAGTAAATAAAACCTCCTGCTCTACCTAGGACTGAGCCAAGACTGCTGCACAGAGCCCATTCAGTGAGCCAACAGGAGATCCTCCATACGCCACTTCGCCGAGCCTCTCACCCTTTCTCTTTGACCCCTTCACGCACTATGACCTCAGAGCTAGAGAGCAGCCTTACCTCAATGGACTGGCTTCCCCAGCTCAGCATGAGGGCGGCCATCCAGAAGGCAGATGTGGGACATCACCATGGTCACCTAGGCTACCACCGTCACCACATGCTCCATCATGGGCACGGACCTGGCAAGAAAATGGTACATTTGGATCCGGGAACCACGCTGGACCAAGAAGAGGCAGCGCTGCACAGAGACGGGAAACCCCCTTACAGCTACGCCAGCCTCATCACCTTCGCCATCAATGGATCGCCGCGCAAACGGATGACCCTCAGTGAGATCTACCAGTGGATCTGCGACAACTTCCCCTACTACAGAGAGGCAGGCAGCGGCTGGAAGGTAAGAACAAACAGAAATGATGAACTATGCTGGAACTGCAAGCTTAAGGGGGATTTTTGTGCCTGGCATGTTGCTTTGGTTTAACGTCGAGTCATCTTTAGCTGATGATACTGTGAATTGAAGTCAAGGTGGCCATGAATTAATTCCACCTGTAGAGTTTTGTTTGAATGTAGCAGTTTTCAGATTTAAGTCTATATTCTCAGTATTCCTGATCAACTGGCTTTCTAAACCAGTTATTGTTGTAAATAGTAAAATAATAATAGGAAACTATTTGTCAATTTTCACTTCAGCAATCTGTGCCTAAAGACCAGTATTTATATCCTTTTGAATGACAGAAAAACACATCCTGAGTAAAACGCAAGAGCTTTTGCCCCTTGGACCTTCTGTAGACTGAAGGCTACGTAAATAATTTAAATTAGAACATTTTATATGATTAGGAAGAAGAGCATCTGCAGGCATTTAAGAAAACGTAAAAATGCAGATAATTTGCATAATCAGTTGCAGAGATTTTTGATCGAACGATTAATAAGCTTGAATATAATATTGAGAATACAAATGAAGTTTTATAGGTCTAACAGATGCATGTGTGGGAAGTTGACACTTGTTCTAGATACAGAATAAAACTTTAATCTTGCAATGTTGATCTTTCTGTGACCTATGTGTTTATTTTACAGGTGTGGTTCACAAAAAAAAAACATTTATTTAGTATTTCTGATTATAATCGTTCACTGTGAGTTTAACATTCAGGCGGAACATGAAACCTCCTACACCTCTCTCCTGCATTAGCTTCTGAGATAAAACAGATGGTGAAAATCTAGGATTAGAAAAGCCTGACAGATCTACGTCGCTTAACTTTCATGGACTCACCCATCTTGACTCACGACGGGGAAGGCTGTTGTTGTTTTAGCGTCCAGGAAACAGCAGGCAACGTACAGACTAGTAAACCCAACGGTTAGCATTAGCAACACCACCACACAGAGATACAACTCCAGGCTTGTGTTTTATTTGTGGAGATGAAACATCCAAGTTGCAAGTCAGCAGTACAGTTGCATTGCTTTTATTCAATCTGAGGCGAGATGTCAAAAAATCTGGAAATAAGACACCAAAACCTCCCGTCTGCTCCCGCTCTCTGCTGCAACGCACTTGTCCCTGCTGATCCAAGCAATTCTGGGCTTTTTTTCTTGCCCTGATTCCAGCTTGCAAGGCATTCATTCCTACCAGAGACCACTGCAAATGTACAGATTAAAACATGTTTCCTACACCTTTAAGCATTTTTACTGATAGTCATTAACTGTCTCAGCAAGATGCCTCAATAAATGCTTTTTATCTCTTATCAAGTTAAATGTTTCAAGTTCTGATTAACATTTACGTGTCAGTAATGTCATAATGTGGTTTGCAAAATGCCAGTTGCAGTAACTATACTCAGTGGGACTCCACAGGTTTACCTACTATTGTTTAGTACACCACTTTATATGCCTTTTTCTCCCACATGAGCTCAATTAACAACAAAAACCCCTCTGCTGAACATTCATTAGAACACAGCAGAAATAAACAGAGAAGACGCTAAAGTCCCTGGATGAAATAAGAGTTTAAACAACCACACAGTTTACTGTAAGTGCAAGGCAGAGCACATTTATTTATGTGGCACAACTCGGCTATAAAGTTTTACATAAAACAGAAAACAGATTAATTGCGCAATCGGTGATGCATAAAATAAATTGAAATACAGAAAATAAGAAAACCAAACTAGTAAATGATGAAGAGCAGTGAAAGTTCAGCCTTCAGTTTAATTCAATCAAACTCTGTGGCAAACAGGAAAGTCTTAAGACTGAATTAAAAAAAGAAGAGTGTTCGAAGTGCAGGTCTTGGGGAGTTTGTTTCATATTTTATTTATATTTAGCATTTAAAGCTGACTTGTTTCTGATTATTTAAAATTCCAGGAAGATTCTTTAATGCATGCTGAAGTTAAACCGTTCCGATTCCTGGTCAGTTGGTCTCTCAACGCGATTGACAAAATGTTTTCAACGATGAGAACGGGAGAAGGGGCTCCCGGTTGCCCCTCTGGGACAGGTCCAGTTGGGCGTATCATGGACTCCTGAAACAGTGGAACCTGATCTGCCTCTCTCAACTGTATGTAGAGGATTCTGAAGATGCCTGAATATTTGTGGTGTTGGTGTCAGGTTTGGTGCTGTTTGGCCTGAGCGGTTACCTGGCTTAACGGAAAATTAATGAGCTGTCGAGGAATATTGGCTCAATCCCGGAGGTCAGGGATGGATTACACCGCGCCGTGAATGCACAAACTCATATAATTGTCGAGATGAGTCGTAAGCTTGGAACTTTGGCTGAGATTCAGACTCTGGCACAGAAGGTTGATGCCATCAAGGATAGAGTTGACGGATTGGGATAGATCAATTTACGCCATTATTGGATTCTGAGGGGTTGGAGATCAACAGAACTTTAAGACAGAGAGGAAATTATCTCTGTCTGGCCCCAAAACAAGTTCTTATCTGAATCTGGTGCCCTTGAGCCTGTGAGGCTGAAGTGATTACTCCCCCTCAGAAGAAATGTGGAATGCTGCCGTCGCCATGGTGACTCTGTCTCCCTATCCCAGCCTGGGCGGGACTGCGACCGGTGAAGGCCATTGAATCGTTCCAGGAGTCACTGTGCTCTCTAACCCAAATACCTCCTTCCCCTGTCCAAACGGAGGTGATGAGCGCTTCTCATTGCGGCTGCCTGCACTGATGTGTGGAGAGTCCCCAACCCTACCTCCCCACCTAGAGGACACTTATGCTGTGTGATGTCTGAAGTCTGTTGCATTTCTGTCTGAGGTGTTTTTTGCATAGCAAAGCTGCCCTCCCTGTGGAGTGTAACTCTGAAGTGCCTTTTTTTTCCTCCACCTGACCCAATCCTCATGTAACCCCTCTGATCTCTGTTAAGGTAGCACGACTCAGGTTGCAAATGACCACAGTCACCAATTCTTGTCATGTGTCTATGCCTATGTATGCATGTCTGATCTCAGAATAGTGTGTACTGAAACTCTAAATTCCCTCTGGGATTAATAAAGAATCTTTGAATTGAATTGAATTATTATTTTTAACAATAGGATTTTAAAATCCTCTCTCACAGACAGAAAGCCAGTGAAGAGACATGGTAACTGCACTAAAAATACCCACTTTTCTGATCTCAGTACTTAAGCACCAACAATCTGAATTAGCTGCAGCTCTCTGATTAGCCTTTTAGACCAACCAGTAAGTACGCTGTAATCATGTCTACTAACGAGAAATAGATGGACCAGCTCTTTAAAAGGACTCTGGAACATTAACCCTTTGGGTTTTTATATAAGTTTGAGATGATGGCAGGAAGACGTTAAAAAATCCTTTGGATCTTGCTGTTGACATTTATGTTTGAGTTCATCCACAACTACAATGTCCAGTTGTTTACTTGTTCAGGGAACTCAGTGGTTTCTAGCAGGAGATTGCAATTCATGCTGGAATTAAGGTAGAATGCTGCATGCTTTTTATCAGTGGTTTCTGTCTGACTTTGGTCAAACTTTAGTTTAGGCCTGGCAGGAAGTTCAGCCTACCTTCCAAGCTCTTTGTTGGAACTTAGTTGTGACCTTCTTGGGATCTTTGTTTGTATTTGTAGTTGCTTTAAACTTCTGCTTTGTTGAATTTTATATTGCAATGCGAACTTCCATAAATGATCAGAACTATGGGAATTTTGGAGTGTACCTTGGTGGTGTTGATAAGGAACACGACGCGTAAAACATGTTTCAGATATCTCCCTTTTTAAATCCAGTACCTGGGGGTTGTAACTCTCTCAGGCTCAAAATAAGTTTTGATAAAAGGACGAACAACTAAGTCCTTCAGGGGTACTTCTGAGTAAAAAAATGCTCATGAAATACGTATGTGGAGTAACCAGGTAGGTAGGTTTTAACGTTGCAAATCTGCAACGCCTGCCTCCAGAAGATTAAACTGGTGACGCACTATCATGTCAGCTTACACTTACTGGTTGTTTCAGGTCATGGTAAGATAATTATGCCAACTTTTGACCCGATATTCCCCTTCTGACAATCTTAAAAAGACAATGTGTAGTTTTACCATTAATTTCTGAAATGATATCCATCAAAACGTTGTTGAAAATGAATGAAATGATGCCCAGTTGAAAAATATTGGCGGCTTTGTAACATATAACCATAAAAATCAGGGCTAAAATACATGGGAGCGGGTCTAAGTTTCTGGACGATGCCATATTAGATGCCATGTTTCCTTCTACGGGAGCCCATGAGGACAAAAATATTTACTGATTTGTAACACACGATCAAAAAACTTTAGCCATTCTTAAATGTTGTTGTTTTACACATTTACCTCTTCACTTGTTGCCACTGATGAAAGGGAGTCTGATGTGCTTGTTAATTTGCTGAAATTTGCACCTGGGGCTTTTTACCCTAATGGGCATCCATTGGTAAGGTCTTACTCCAACACAAAAATACTGCTTGCTTGCAACAATTTAGGTATGTACTGCCCCCTATCGCCAGGAAAAACACACACTGTCACTTTAAGGATGTACCCGATTACCGCAATGGCTCTATACATAATTTTATCAGATATTCCTGCCATGTGTGGTGTGATAAGATTGCTCTGGTCTAGGGCTGCAGCTATCGAATATTTTTGTAATCGAGTACTCTATCGAATATTTTTGTCGATTAATCGAGTACTCTAATAAATTACCCTTTTGTGTTTGTAAACCATTATATCAAATAGCATGTTATAATTATGAAAGACCTCTTAAAATGAGCCAGCAGTTGCCAGTTATTCTTCAAGTTTTTTTCAAAATTAGTTTGCAAAACTTCAGCACTTCAACTTTACTTCACAGTAAACAAATGCCTGTGCAAAAAATAAGTACACAACCTGAGCCGATTTTCCCCTCGTGCGAGAATCTGCTAGCCTGCAAGCCAGAGGATAACTGTTGACGTAGCGCTGCGGGCGGCTGCGGCCCAAACAGAACCAGAACTGCTCACGGCGCATGCGCAAACAGCTCGCCGGCTGTTTCCCTATTAACACACGTCCGTTTTAATTTCAACACTTTTTTTTCTCACACAATAACAAGGATTGTCGAGAAAGCATGTTTGCCGTGGTTTTGTCAAATTATACTGATCACAAAACATTTATTTACTTTCTTTCGTTTTCCTCTCATAAATACCAGTCCTCCTGCAGCAATCACGAGGGACAACAAATATCAATAACAACACAGTAAAAGTCCGACGTTTTGTGTAAAAATGCTATTTTTTAGCACATTTTAAGTCCGACGTGTTTCTACCAGACGTACGGTGTGAGCTGAAACTTGAGTGCTACAAACGAAAAAGTCGCACAGTGTCCGCAGAATATATAGAAATACAGGCTAAAAAGCATTATCTTGTAGAGGCTCCGAGTTCGCTTGCAGAAGTGACATTTACAGCTGCTGCAGCACGGAGGATGTGGTGTTGTGGTAGGCTAAATCCATTTTACAGTATTTTCACTGGACTACAATTTCCACCTTACGACGTGAAAAATGGTCCCACATCTTGACATTTTCTGTCTTTTTCGCACTCCACCGGGGTCCACGATGTCCGCCATAGCTTAAGAGAAAGTTAAGTTACATTCCCTACTCGCGTGTGCGATTCAGTCCAGTGGGCATGTGCGTCACTTATTTCAGTCCGGGTGAAACATGACCACGGGCGACTGCAAAGCCATGAATTAATTAAATATGAATTAAACGAATCCTCGAGGCAGAGAATTTGACTCGAGGATTTTTTGTACTCGAATTATTCGAGGTACTCGAGGAATCGTTTCAGCCCTACTCTGGTCTGCTCAGAAGAACGTGGAGAACACTCCAAACATACTTTGGGGATATTAGACATGTATGATTTTCTTGGGTTTGATTTCAAGGACAAACAAGAATGCTGCCTGACGTATAACCAATCACATTGACACGGCTGCTCACTGGGATGAAAAAGATGGAGCATGTTACTCCTGTCTTGGGCTCACTGCACTGGCTGCCTGTTTGTTTTAGAATCCAGTACAAGGTGCTTTTATGGGCTTTTAAATCTTTGCCTGGCCTTGCTCTAGATTACCTCTCTGAGCTACTGGTTTTTTCACAAGCATCTGGCTGCAGACATCAGCAGGCGTCTTTGCCGTGACCGGAAATGACGTAACCGGAAAAATAAGACATCGGGTCATTACCTTCGCAGGAAGTCATTACCTTTGCCGGAAGTAGTTTGGATTTGACGAGGAAAACCATACCGTGTCGTTTTTCTGTTCGATATGTATGTAAACATATACATATCGAAGAGAAAAATTATACGGTGGGTCATTACCTTAACCAGAAGTCATTACTTTCACAGGAAGTAGTTTTTTTTAAACAAAACTTACCGGAAAAAGCTTTTTATTTTGGATTTTTTTTCTCTCCAAATCTGGACTGGCAAACTTTTAAATAATGTCGTTACCTACATTGCATGAAAATTGAATATTAAGTCCCTTTGTCCTTCAGACAGGGAATTTTTATGACAGTAGCATATATATATATATATATATATATATATATATATATATATATATATATATATATATATATATATATAACAATAAAAGGCTGTAAAGTGAATAAAAAACATATATGGAAAAAATGAGAACACATTAAACTAAGACTTTTCAAGATGTGCAAACAAAATAGTAGTTGCTTAATATTCAGCTTTTTTGTTAAGCCCAAGATGAACTTTTGACCTGCACCAATTGCTAAAGTATAGGGCTCCCAGAGGCAGTGAAAAACATTTCAGCAACACTCCTCTCTAACCATCAACAAAAATTAGTTACAAAATATCCATAGCACTGTCCTATTGTGTATCACAGCAGCTCATTGCAAAATAATTTAACTACTACAGCTGATAACTATTTAGCTAGTTGGTATTTATTTTGAGTGAAAGACAATAAAACAAAAAAACACTTAATTTCACAACCATTTTATTTTGGGTACAAATGAATTTGCTGAAGCATGGCTTTCTCAGCTGTATATCGATTCATCCCCTCCCATTTTTCCAACACTTTTATTGTCACCTGAAAAACATGCAGAATTAATTCATGCACTGTCAAATGTTTTCGAAAAGTAACTTGCATACCAATCACTGCTGAAGACTGCTTTGTACCTCTGGAACAAGGACATCAAACACCAAGTCCAGAAACTGGAACTCTCTCTTCTTTATTAGTTTAGCTATTCCTGAGCATGAACCAATCCGCTCTGTCAGCTCGTCAACCTATAAAACACGTTAACATAAAAATGAACAAAACATTCCTCTCAGCATTAGACAACGGACCCAGGTGGCTCACTGGCCACGCATCGAGATAAATGAATTTGACGCAGCTTATTGTAAGTCAGTATACATTTACCTGTGCATCAGCAAAGTGGAACATCAGTGGCTTTAGTCTTTGCTTTAATTTAAGCGAGACGCCTGGATTGTGCGACAGATACATGCGGCCAGACTTCACTCTACCGCTGCAGAGATCCTTATACAAAGTCTGAGTAGAGACAAAAGTTAAAAATAAGCAACATTACCACAGAAAACAAGGGATTGCATTATCCTATGTCCAATTTTACAATCTTAATTTATTATACCTAAACATTACCTTGATTTCACCATCTGAAATCACTGCCTGGGTTCCATTTTGGGTTCCATTTTTCAAAGCCTCGATAGTCTCGTAATATAGATAAAAATACATCTTATTAGCAAATGAAGAATACAAACACATGTAAGGAGTTTTGTCAGTGTCACTTGAAGAAGTCCGATATTCATTTTAGATCTATATTTATGGCCTCTAACTCCTGAATGATTTGCAGCTAAATGTGCTTAAATCCGGTAATATTTACATAAACCATACCCGATCAAAGCAGTCAGTCGAAAAAAAATATCTATTTTTCATAAGGTTAGGATTATTCTGAAACAGAATCAGAAGGAGGGAGGCAATAATTAGAGAAGCGGCTACTATTTCAAAGTTATTGTACCTGTTGCTGGACACCTGATTTGTGCAACCACATTTGAATGACCCAGCACAGGACCAGTTCCAGTGTGGGCCAGATGCTGAAAAATAAATTCATAAATCTGTCTTTTTTGAAGTTTCACAAATCAGAGAAAGGTTTCACAAATCACAAACTATGTTTTATGCATTCTGCTACGAGCCTAGAATAATCTAAAACAGGTTTGAAGAGTGTATGTGTTGTAGTTTTTGAGCTAGAGCAGATTAAAAATGATCAGAGTAGAGAAAAATTGGGTGTATTAGCCCTTTAGCCATTTCCCGAATCGGAAGCTAACTTTAGCCTGTATAAAAACTAGTGATTGAAACCACTTACAAATTTCTTAAAATCTACACTTTTTAATAAAAAAAGGGTATTAATAACTTTCAGTCAAGTCAGTATTAGAAATCATGGTCTTTATATCATATTATATATAAAGTTAATATTACTTTAACTGTTTTAACAAACAGGGAGACCAGAAAAATCAAATAGCTAAGTTAAAGCTAAGCTACAATTGCTGATTGCTTTATTTATGTAGCTTCTGTGTTAGCTTGTGAACTCCCTGCATTAGTTTTAAGACTGCGTGTTAATATAGATACAATTTGCAATGAAACACGGTGCCTTTGCAATAATTCTCTGGTAAAGCTTTAAATGCTATCGTGCATACATTTAAGAACTAAGAACGGTTACAAAAATTAGTTAATTTCATCCTTACCTTTCCTCTTTGAAACCCGCCGAGTTTGGTTGAAACAAAAGTGGCCGCCAAAAAAGACCAACTTCCGGCCGAGGTCTTTCGCTCGTCGATTTTCCTTTAAAAGTAATGACACGCCATCTTGTTCTCGCTAGAAAGTTCTTCCTGTGACACGCCAGCTGATGTCTGCAGCCAGGTCCTACTCGGTTTTTTACTCCCCTGCACGGTCTCTAAGGTCAGCTGATAGGATGTTCCTGGAAGTCCCGAAAACAAGGCACAAGCTCAGAGGTGACGGGACTTTGTAGCGGCCCCCAGGCTCTGGAATGTGCTGCCTTTGAGCGTTAGGTCGGCCTCATCATTGTCTGGTTTTAAGTCACTTTTGAAAAAATATTTTCATGATTTTGGCTTTTAACTCAGCATGAGAGTCTTAAGCTTTAGTTTTCATGCATTTTATGCTGTGTATTGTTTTTAAATTCTGTGAAGCACTTTGGTCACTTTGCTGTTGTATAAAGCTGCCTTGCCAGAAAGTGAGGTGATGAAAGCATGCGCCACACTCTTCTTCTGCTATGTTATTTACGCTAATGTCACATTTGATCTTAAAAGGACAATTAGCAACTTTTTCATATTTTAAATCATTTTCTTGAGCCAGTATGCACTAAAATGACCCATTACAGGGTTAATGAAAGGTCACCCAGCCCCTATTGCCCCCTGTGGCCAGAATATCACACTTGCAACTTCACAGTTGCCGGTCCCGTCTGCTGGGACTTAGAAAAATTTAGCTGACCTACTTGACACTGCTGTCTGGCTTTAGCGTGTTTCCTGCATGTTTTAGATCATGAACCCAGCAGATTTGTTTAATTTAGTAATGAATCACTGCTCTAGACGCTTAAGAACGCTGGGAGAGACGTTTCAGCTGTTGAATTAAGGTGTTAAAAAATCGAACGCACATCAAGGAGATAGTTTCGCTTCTTCTAACAAACACTAGGAGGTGCTAAAAGCAAGCAAAACTGCTTAGTATCCCTTTTAGGTTTTGCGACATTTTCCCGTATGATCAAAGAATGTTAATTTGAGACTGATTTGTGTGTAGTGTGCAGTTTTAGCCTTGTTGCCATTTTCCATCAAACCAAAACTGTTTAATCTGTTATAATGTGGTCTCTCATGTTTTGAAAATCGTTCAAAAATCCCAGCAACGCCATGCCGCCATGACCCTTTCGTAAGACACACCGTGGCAGCAGTATTAAGTTGATTTGCCGTCATGGTGTGTCTTCTAAAAAGAGCTTTTGTGAGGATGACTAAAGAGGTTCAGATCTTTGCTGGATTTTCAGTTGTT